AAGCATTGCCCAAAGCTTGGAAGCATTGCCCAAAGCTTGGAAGAGTTGCCCAAAGCTTGGAAGCGTTGCCCAAAGCTTGGAAGCTTTACCCAAAGCTTGGAAGCATTGCCCAAAGCTTGGAAGCATTGCCCAAAGCTTGGAAGCATTGCCCAAAGCTTGGAAGCATTGCCCAAAGCTTGATAGCATTGCCCAAAGCTTGGAAGCATTGCCCAAAGCTTGGAAGCATTGCCCAAAGCTTGATAGCATTGCCCAAAGCTTGGAAGCATTGCCCAAAGCTTGGAAGCATTGCCCAAAGCTTGGAAGCATTGCCCAAAGCTTGGAAGCATTGCCCAAAGCTTGGAAGCATTGCCCAAAGCTTCGAAGCATTGCCCAAAGCTTCGAAGCATTGCCCAAAGCTTGATAGCATTGCCCAAAGCTTGGAAGCATTGCCCAAAGCTTCGAAGCATTGCCCAAAGCTTGGAAGCATTGCCCAAAGCTTGGAAGCGTTGCCCAAAGCTTGGAAGCTTTACCCAAAGCTTGGAAGCATTGCCCAAAGCTTGGAAACATTGCCCAAAGCTTGGAAGAGTTGCCCAAAGCTTGGAAGAGTTGCCCAAAGCTTGGAAGAGTTGCCCAAAGCTTGGAAGAGTTGCCCAAAGCTTGGAAGAGTTGCCCAAAGCTTGGAAGAGTTGCCCAAAGCTTGGAAGCATTGCCCAAAGCTTGGAAGAGTTGCCCAAAGCTTGGAAGAGTTGCCCAAAGCTTGGAAGAGTTGCCCAAAGCTTGGAAGCATTGCCCAAAGCTTGGAAGAGTTGCCCAAAGCTTGGAAGCATTGCCCAAAGCTTGGAAGCATTGCCCAAAGCTTGGAAGAGTTGCCCAAAGCTTGGAAACATTGCCCAAAGCTTGGAAACATTGCCCAAAGCTTGGAAACATTGCCCAAAGCTTGGAAACATTGCCCAAAGCTTGGAAACATTGCCCAAAGCTTGGAAGCATTGCCCAAAGCTTAGAAGCATTGCCCAAAGCTTGGAAACATTGCCCAAAGCTTGGAAGCATTGCCCAAAGCTAGGAAGCATTGCCCAAACCTTGCTACAGGAACAAGTTGTCATAAGAGATGTATGGAAGACAGTTTTCAGTGTTAGAACTATTATTAAGAGAAATAGGCTTAACGAAGAAGTCGTTGAAGCTAATTCTGTACAAAATATAAAATGTAAATATGATTTTGTAAAAATTGGCCGCCGAGTCAATCCATTAATCGTTCATTAATCCAATTAAACATTCAGATGCGAGGCCAGGAGTCCAGCTCGCGCCTACCAGCCCATCTAGGTAATCAAGTCCATCAAGGTGTCCACATACTCAAACTCAATTCCACGCCCAATTGCCTCGTTAAGTGTCCATTAAATAATTTAATAACAAAAAATGGGTTAAATTCTTCAGTTAGCTGCCGTCCGCTGTGACATTTACTCCACAAACTCGCTTCAATAAAATGTTAAGTGGCGTCCACTGGAGGCGACTAACTGGGCACTATCATACAAAAATATTAATTCCACTGAAATTCAGCGCGAAGACCCGCCACTCTTATGTATATAGCCTCGGGGGGCCTCGTAGCCTGGTGGATAGCGCGCAGGACTCGTGATTCTGTGGCGCGGGTTCGATTCCCGCACGAGGTAGAAACAAATGGGCAAAGTTTCTTTCACCCTGAATGCCCCTGTTACCTAGCAGTAAATAGGTACCTGGGTGTTAGTCAGCTGTCACGGGCTGCTTCCTGGGGGTGGAGGCCTGGTCGAGGACCGGGCCGCGGGGACACTAAAGCCCCGAAATCATCTCAAGATAACCTCAAGATAACCTCAAGATAGCATGGAGCGGACTCTGCTAATTCACGACCACCGCGGCTCGAAATGAATGTATTGTTCCATTATTTCGGCGTGGGGGAGTCAGTCACATGAGATAAGGTCTTCTCCACCACAGCTAACATGAGATAAGGTCTCCCACACCACAGCTAACATGAGATAAGGTCTCTCCCACCACTGCTAACATGAGATAAGGTCTCCCCCACCACAGCTAACATGAGAGAAGGTCTCTCCCACCACAGCTAACATGAGATAAGGTCTCCCCCAACACAGCTAACATGAAATAAGGTCTCACCCACCACAGGTACCATGAGATAAGCTCTCTCCCACCACAGCTAACATGAGGCAAGGTCTCTCCCACCACAGCTAACATGAGGCAAGGTCTCTCCCACCACAGCTAACATGAGAGAAGGTCTCTCCCACCACAGGTACCATGAGATAAGGTCTCTCCCACCACAGCTAACATGAGATAAGGTGTTTCCCAACGCGGCTAACATGAGATAAGGTGTCTTCCACCACAGCTAACATGAGATAAGGTGTCTTCCACCACAGCTAACATGAGGCAAGGTCTCTCCCACCACAGTTAACATGAGGCAAGGTCTCTCCCACCACAGCTAACATGAGGCAAGGTCTCTCCCACCACAGCTAACATGAGGCAAGGTCTCTCCCACCACAGCTAACATGAGGCAAGGTCTCTCCCACCACAGCTAACATGAGGCAAGGTCTCTCCCACCACAGCTAACATGAGGCAAGGTCTCTCCTGGCCTTAACAGCTCCGAGGATGAGATAACTCTCACAACAAAAGGCCGTAATGACCTTTCCTGCTCGCTACACCGTATATAAAAAGTAGTAAATATAAAAGCCTTGCTCGAGCTGTTACGTGCGTGTTGGCAGCCGGAACATCAGAAGAGAAACCACTGAACACAACGAAATTACTTGAACAATAATAGATTCTCCAGGCCATAGAAAACGTCCACTAACATTCCCACTTGAAATGTTCTGGTCCCTTGATCACAGTGAAGAGGATAGATGACATAACATAGAATGTGAAGAGATGCTCTGGACAATGAGCAACAATATTTCTCACCAGTGAGACAGTAGTATGTAGTGAGCTGACAGTCATGAGATTTGAAACTGGCTTTGAAATTCTTATTTTTTGTTTTGGAGAGAACACAAAATAGGTATGAGTACCCCAGGGGACAAGGAGTCACCTGAAGGGGTAATTGAATGACAGGCTACAGTAGTTGGATGTTATGTTACAGTAAATGCATGACAGTTTCAGTAATTGGATGACCAATCAGTTAGTGGTTGACTGTAATCTGTAACTGAATGGCAGATTACAGTGACTACATGACAGATCACAGTAAATGGATGAAAGGTTATAGCAATTTGAGGACAGATTACAGTAACTGGATGACAACACTGTAATAGGATGACAACACTGTAATAGGATGACAACACTGTAATAGGATGACAACACTGTAATAGGATGACAACACTGTAATAGGATGACAGATTGCAGTAACAGGATGACATTACAGTGGATAAATGGAAGATTACAGTAAGTGGATGAGAGATGTCCACTTGATATCAGGTAAACACACACACACACACACACACACACACACACACACACACACACACACACACACACACACACACACACACACACACACACACACAAAGGACCATCCTCGCTTCATCCACAAAACATCATAGAAAAAGCTTGTCTTTTGTCAACCTAGACAAAAAATTCTCACTTTTTCAACATTCTCAAAAATAAAATATTCTCTACATCCCACTTGTGATCACGTGGTCATTAAGTCTATGATCATTATAATCATTAACCATGATTAAAATATTAAAGGCTTCATCGGGTTGAAAAATGTACAACATTGATAAAATTCGAATTTTAAAAAACTCGAATTTTGTTTAAAATCATTTTAAAAACACGTGTTCACGGTGTATTATTTTAGTGGCCAGAGTTTGGTCACTATTACTGGTAGACGAGAAATTTATTGACACCGGTCAACATGACAATAATTTTTTTTTTTTTTTTTTTTTTTTTTTTTTTTTTTGGCTATTCTAACTCTGTTACTTGTGGTAACTATTGTGTTGGGTCATGTTGGTTGCCCTCTCCGGCAGTAGTACTCCCTCCCACCACACATCCCCCACCACACTCCCTCCCTCAAGACCCCCCCCCTCTACCACCACACTCCCACCCCCAACACTTCCCCCACCACACTTCCACCCTCAAGACCCCCCCCCCTCCACCACCACACTCCCACCCCCAACACATCCCCCACCACACTCCCTCCCTCAAGACCCCCCCCTCTACCACCACACTCCCACCCCTAGCACTTCCCCCACCACACTCCCTCCCCCAACACATCCCCCACCACACTCCCTCCCTCAAGACCCCCCCCCCTCTACCACCACACTCCCACCCCCAACACTTCCCCCACCACACTTCCACCCTCAAGACCCCCCCCCTCCACCACCACACTCCCACCCCTACCACACTCCCTCCCTCAAGACCCCCCCTCTACCACCACACTCCCACCCCTAGCACTTCCCCCACCACACTCCCTCCCTCAAGACCCCCCCTCTACCACCACACTCCCACCCCCAACACTTCCCCCACCACACTTCCACCCTCAAGACCCCCCCCCCCCTCCACCACCACACTCCCACCCCTAACACTTCCCCCACCACACTTCCACCCTCAAGAACCCCCCCCCCCCCCCCCACCACCACACTCCCACCCCTAACACTTCCCCCACCACACTTCCACCCTCAATAACCCCCCCCCCACCACCACTACACTTCCACCCCCAACACTTCCCCCACCACACTCCCACCCTCAAGACCCCCCCCCACCACCACACTCCCACCCCCAACACTTCCCCCACCACACTCCCACCCTCAAGACCCCCCCCCCACCACCACACTTCCACCCCCAACACTTCCCCCACCACACTCCCACCCTCAAGACCCCCAACACACAAGCCCCTCCCCCATGTTCTAAACTCAGAAATAATATCGTAACACTTTAACTTAATTGTTCGGAAATATTTATCGCTCAACTAACCAAGACATAAGACCATTCCCAGCCGAGTCTTGGTCGCTCACAGTACTCTGGCAGCTCCAGAAAGATGTACTTCTTGTACGTCTTTAAAGATGATCAACAACAACAAGATGCTCTTAACATCAAGATGCTCTCAACATCAAGAAGTGCGAGCACAGACGTCAATTATCCCTCGCAAATCTGGTGTAGTGATGTCACGCCGTCGTCTCTTAGGTGATGTCACGCCGTCGTCTCGTAGTCTAATGTCAATGGTTCACCTGGAACAAGTGAGCTATGACGATTGTGTGTCGGGTTTAGTGAGCCATAGGGCGCTCTACCTGTGTTGTAGAGTCTGGCCACACTGGAGGCGGCGCTCTACCTGTGTTGTAGAGTCTGCCCACACTGGAGGTGGCGCTCTACCTTTGTTGTAGAGTCTGGCAACACTGGAGGTGGCGCTCTACCAGTGTTGTAGAGTCTGGCAACACTGGAGGTGGCGCTCTACCAGTGTTGTAGAGTCTGGCAACACTGGAGGCGGCGCTCTACCTGTGTTATAGAGTCTGGCAACACCAGAGGTGACGCCAGACCTCCCCTGAAAGCACAACTAAATGAGTACACACACACACACACACACACACACACACAAGACTTGTCTTGTGACCATCGTGTTGGGTGGACGTGGGTTGGGAGCTCCTGGTTCACTAGTGGAGTGGGAGGGGTAATCAGGCAACTTCGAAGTGAAAAAGACTATAAGTGAATGTACAAGTGAATGAAAAAACCTTGGGTTTTGACCAGAGCCATAAGGTAGTGAAGAAAAACAGTTTAATTAGCGTAATTCAAAATAGTTGAGGAAATACTGTGCAGTGTGGAAGCAGACCTCACCGACCTCTGACCGCGTGACCTCACCTCCGGCAACAACCCTTCTACCACCACGTGGGACGACGATTGGAGATTCACTCACCTATTGTGTTAGCAGATTGTGCAAGGTATTGAGGAGCGCCTTTTTGGCAGGATTGTTACTGCAATGACTAGAAGGGGTTCAAGGTCAATCACCAGCAGGGATGAGGAGGACAGATTTATAGACAAATTAATAGGGAAATTTGTAGAGAGAAGGAGTGATTGGTTGGAGGATCTAATACAGGGGATTAAAAGTGAGGTATTTCAGCAAATACAGGATGCGGTAGAGAGGCAGAAACAAGAACTTATGCTCTATGTTCAGGAAGAGATTAGGAAGGGAAGAGAGGACTGGGAGAGGGAATGTGCTCGTATCACAAACGAATTAGGAAGGATTAGCAGCATGGCTAAGGATAGAGGATTAGTGGGGGATGGGTTAGTGACTGCGGTTGGGATGGGGAATCCCCAGGAGACAGGCTACCAGCATGACAAGGACTTACTGAGGAGACGGTCTATTATAATACATGGATTATTCGAATCTAGGGCACCAACAAGACAAGAGAGAATAGAAACAGAAAAATACGAATTGCACGAGATATTGAGGTGTATTGGAGCAGGAATGGCAGAACGCGAGGTGGATATAAATCGACGGGTTGGACCTTACAATTGTACCAAGAATAGACCTGTTCTGGTGCAATTCTCCAATGAGGAGGCAGTGGAGTACATAATGAGGACCAAGCATTTACTCAGAGGAAGTGAAACCCATTACAATGTGTTTATAGAGAGGTTTATGACGAAAGATGAGCAAATAGCCCACAAAAATAGATGGCAACAACGACACCGAACTAGCCTCTCAGGTAGTCTCACCTCCCAGGTCACATCCCAGATCACCTCCCAGGCCACCTCCCAGGTCACCTCCCAGGTCGCATCCTCCCCAACTCAGCCCTCCTATACCTCCCCCCTGCCTCAGCCTCCCAAAACCCCCCTGTCCCTTCCACATTTGCACCTCCCCAACGATTCCCCTGCCCCTGCTACATCACACTTGTCAGCGACCCCAGTGGGTCAAGCCATGCCCTCCCCAAACCCACCTTCCCATCCCCCTCCCCAAATACCCCTTCCTACTCCCCTGCCCCTTCTACCCTATTGACTTCAATTCCATCTACTCCATCCCAGCTTCCACTGCACCCCTCTTCCACTCAACCCCAAACCCCACCCAACCCTCACCCCTCCTATGCACCTCCAGCCCACATTTAACCCCCTCACCTTGTGACCCCCTAACACCTTCCCCCATCTCCCTCTTCCCCTCTTCTACCCCAAAACCCCCACCTACCCCCGATTCCCCCCTAACTAATATACCCTCTCTTCCACTCCCAGCACCCATGCTCCATTCTCATCTCAGCTCTCCACCCTCAGTATCCCTCTCCCCCCCAACCTCTCAACCTCTATCTGACTCTCAGTCTCACTCTATTTCTCAACCCCCCTATGCTATTCAGACCCCTAACTTTCAGACCCATTATGCCCTTCCTACCCCCCTAGATGCCCAGACCCCATTCGCCTACCAGGCACTCCCAGGCACCCCCCTAGCACCCCCCCACTCACCCCCACAGCCCCCACTTGCCCCCCAGACACCCCCCAGTTCCCCCCAGACCCCTGGTGAAAGGGGGAACTCTGACACCCGAGTTTCCAAGAAGAGTCTCAAGGTTTGGTACACCAATGCTGATGGGGTAGCCAATAAAGCAGAAGAGATAAAAGAAAGAGTTAGTGAGGCAGACCCAGACATAGTGGCAATAGTGGAAACTAAAATAAATGGCATGATCTCGGATGCAATCTTTCCAGAGGGGTACCAGGTGATAAGAAAAGAAAGGACACAGAGACAGGGAGGAGGAGTGGCACTACTAATAAAGCGGAAATGGAAGTTTGATGAGCTGGAAAATCCGGGTACCAATGAAAGCACAAGCTTCATACATGGAACTCTGACAGTGGATGGGAAGAAGATTGTAATCTTGATACTCTACAATCCCCCACCAAACAGTAGAAGGCCCAGGCAGGAGTACGAGGACAGCAACAAGACATGTATGGATGAACTGCAGAGGGCAGCAACTCTAGCGCATAGAATGAGAGCGAAGCTGCTGGTCATGGGGGACCTAAATCACGGAGAGATAGATTGGGAAACGAGGAATCCCCATGGCGGGGAGGAGACCTGGGGAGCGAAGCTGGTAGATGTTATTGACAGGAATTTCCTAACACAGCATGTGAAAGAAGATACTAGGGAAAGAGGAGGGGATACGCCCAGCCTATTAGATCTCATTATCACTCAGAATGTAGAAGACATCGAGCAGTTGGAACATGAAATACCACTAGGAGCTAGTGACCATTGTGTCCTAGTCTTTGACTACATGATGGAGCTTAAAATTGTGACCAAAGGACAAGAGGTCCGGGAAAGGAGACTTGATTACAGAAAAGGGGACTACAGAAGGATAAGGGACTACCTGGGAGAAGTGCAGTGGGAGGAAGAACTTAGAGGAAAAACAGTGCAAGGTATGATGAACCAAGTCATATTGAAATGCAAGGAGGCTGAAGATAGATTTATTCAAACAATAAAGGAAAAAAGCAGGAGGGAATATAATAACCCATGGTTTAATAGACAGTGTCAGGAAGCAAAGGTGAGAAGCAGGAGGGAGTGGAGGAAGTACAGAAGACAAAGGACAGAGGACAACAGGATTAGATGTAACAGAGCTAGGAATGATTACATTAACATAAGACGGGTGTCGGAAAGAAATTATGAGAACGATATTGCAGTCAAAGCGAAAAAGCAACCAAAATTACTACATAGCCATATAAGAAGGAAGATGTCGGTAAATGACCAAGTGACAAGACTGAGGAAAACAGAAGGGGCATATACAGAAAGCGACAAGGAAATCTGCGAGGTACTGAATGCAAAATTCCATGGAGTGTTCACAACCGAGCCTGAGCAGCTCCCATTGTTAGAAGAGATTACCCAAGATGAAAGACTATCAGATATAGAGGTGACAGCAGAGGATGTAATGAAACAGTTGACAACACTGGATGCAAATAAAGCTGTTGGACCAGACAAAGTATCACCGTGGATACTTAAAGAGGCAGCGCAGGCTCTCAGCGTGCCTCTGGCAATGATCTTTAATGAGTCACTTATGTCGGGAGAATTGCCCAGTTGCTGGAAGGAGGCAAATGTCGTACCGATTTTCAAAAAGGGTGATAGGGAGGAGGCACTTAACTACAGACCCGTATCACTGACAAGCATCCCCTGCAAAATACTTGAAAGAATAATTAGGCTAAGACTTGTTGAGCACCTGGAGAGCATTGGGTTTGTAAACAAGCACCAACATGGGTTCTGGACAGGGAAATCATGCCTAACAAACCTTTTAGAATTCTATGATAAAGTAACAAGGATAAGGCAGGACAGAGAAGGCTGGGCAGACTGCATATTTCTTGACTGCCAAAAGGCCTTTGATACGGTACCGCACATGAGACTGCTATACAAACTTGAGAGGCAGGCAGGAGTAAGCGGAAAGGCCCTAGTATGGGTGAAGAACTACCTAACAGGAAGGAGCCAGAGGGTAATGGTAAGGGGCGAAAAGTCGGACTGGCGAACAGTAACAAGTGGAGTACCTCAAGGATCGGTGCTGGGACCAATCCTCTTTCTAATTTACGTAAATGATATGTTTACAGGAGTGGAATCATACATGTCAATGTTTGCAGATGACGCAAAATTAATGAGAAGAGTTGTGACAGACGAGGATTGTAGGATCCTCCAAGAGGACTTAAACAGGCTGCAGAGATGGTCAGGGAAATGGCTACTGGAGTTTAACACCAGTAAATGTAAAGTTATGGAAATGGGATCAGGTGACAGGAGACCAAAGGGACAGTACACAATGAAGGGGAACAGCCTACCTGTAACGATTCGAGAAAGAGACCTGGGAGTGGATGTGACACCTAATCTAACTCCTGAGGCACATATAAATAGGATAACGACAGCAGCGTACTCTACACTGGCGAAAATTAGAACTTCATTCAGAAACCTAAATGAGGAAGCTTTTAGGGCGCTTTACACTGCCTACGTGAGACCCGTCTTAGAGTATGCCGCGCCATCATGGAGCCCCCACCTGAAGAAACACATAAAGAAACTGGAGAAGGTTCAGAGGTTTGCGACGAGGCTTGTCCCAGAGCTACGAGGGATGGGATATGAAGAGCGGCTGAAGGAACTGAACCTTACGACACTAGAGAAAAGAAGGGAGAGAGGAGATATGATAGGGACATATAAAATACTCAGGGGAATTGACAAAGTGGAAATAGATGAAATGTTCACACGTAATAATAACAGAACGAGGGGACATGGGTGGAAACTGGAAACTCAGATGAGTCACAGAGATGTTAGGAAGTTTTCTTTTAGCGTGAGAGTAGTAGAAAAATGGAATGCACTTGGGGAACAGGTTGTGGAAGCAAATACTATTCATACTTTTAAAACTAGGTATGATAGGGAAATGGGACAGGAGTCATTGCTGTAAACAACCGATAGCTAGAAAGGCGGGATCCAAGAGTCAATGCTCGATCCTGCAAGCACATATAGGTGAGTACATATAGGTGAGTACACACACACACACACACACACACACACACACACACACACACACACACACACACACACACACACACACACACACACACACACACACACAAGGCTTCCTTGTCACTTTCTATGAGATAATCTCTCTCAGGTTTACTTCTCACTTTCTATGAGATAATCTCTCACAGATTTATTTGTCACTTTCTATGAGATAATCTCTCACAGGTTTACTTCTCACTTTCTATGAGATAATCTCTCACAGATTTACTTGTCACTTTCTATGAGATATTCTCTCTTAGGTTTCCTTGTCACTTTCTTTTTAATCCACTAGCCTTGGTACTCTCCTAACTGCAATGATGTCATTACGTCTCAGTACTTCGTGTGGCATCCTGGCGTTGTCTGTTGTGATCCGAGGGTTGAACGTCAGATATTGGGTTCCGCCTCTCAATCTTCAATCACAGGTTTCTGAACCTATTGGGCTCTGTCATATATACGTTTGAAGCTGTGAATGGAGTCAGCCTCCACCACCTGCCATGTTAGAACAGGACATTTGTTCAGAACTTTGACACTGGCAAAATTATAATATTTATGTGGTTAATTTTGTCTTTAGTTTCCAGCGGTGTTTCTACTTCGTGTACCGCCTACTTGTGTGTACTCTCCTAGTTGTTCTCACCTAGTTGTGTCTGCGGGGGATGAACGTTGGCTCTTTAGTCCCGCCTCTCAACCGTCAATCAACTGTTGTACAGATTCCTAAGCCTACTGGGCTCTATCATATCTACATTTGAAAATGTGTATTGAGTCAGCCTCCACCACATAACTGTCTAATTTATTCCATTTGTTAACTAGTCTGACACTGAAAAAAAAATATTTCAAATGTCTATGTTGCTCATTTGGGTACTACGTTTCCACCTGTGTCCCCTTGTTCGTGTTCCATCTGTGATAAACTGATTGTATTTGTACACCCCTGTCAATTCCCCGGAGAATTTTGTAGGTGGTTATCATGTCTCCCCCTTACTCTTCTGTTTTCCAGGGACGTGAGGTTCAGCTCCTTCAGTCTTTCCGCATTGCTCATACCTCTCAGTTGCGGGACGAGTCTGGTGGCATACCGCTGAATCTTCTCTAACTTTGTCTTGTGTTTAACTAGGTATGGACTCCAGGCTGGAGCTGCATACTCCAGGATTGGTCTTACATAAGTGGTATACAGGGTCCTGAACGATTCCTTACAAAAGTTATGTGTAATAACACACTTACGTGCGTGTGTGTGTGTGTGTGTGTGTGTGTGTGTGTGTGTGTGTGTGTGTGTGTGTGTGTGTGTGTGTGTGCCGCTTCATGCAGGTCGGCGTTCAATCCCCAACCGTCCATAAGTGATTGGGCACCATTCCCCCCCCCCTCTGTCCCATCCCAAATCCTTATCCTGACCCCTTCCAAGTGCTATATAGCCTTTAATGGCTTGGCGCTTTATCCTGATAATTCCCTCCCTCCAGGAGGATATCAGATATAACAAGAGGCACACCTGAGCCTTGAAGATATCAAATGACCAAAGGAACACAATAAGGGAGGAACGTACAAGGAACAGTAACAGGAGTGTGGTAGCAGAGATCAACACTCGTCTCTGCAACACTGGAAGGCCTATAATGAACACCTTGACATGTGCAACCTGGCACGTCTGAAGGTGATAGACAGTTCCTCAACACTGACAAGGAAAGTGACGGACTAAGAGTCCAATATTCAGCCACTTTTTAATCACAGGTAAATCGCCTGGGGAACGGACAGATCCCCAGGAGAGGGAAGTGCAGTGAGACACGAAGAGGAAATCTGGCAGACACGGCAGACAAACACAGCAAACAAACACGGCAGACAAACACAGCAAACAAACACGGCAGACAAACACAGCAGACAAACACAGCAAACAAACACGGCAGACAAACACAGCAGACAAACACAGCAGATACACACAGCAGACAAACACAGCAGTCACACACAGCAGACAAACACAGCAGACACACACATCAGACAAACACAGCAGACAAACACAGCAGACAAACACAGCAGACAAACACAGCAAACAAACACGGCAGACAAACACAGCAGATAAACAGAGCAGACAAACACGGCAAACACAGCAGACAAACACGGCAGACAAACACAGCAAACAAACACGGCAGACAAACACAGCAGACAAACACAGCAGACAAACACAGCAGACAAACACAGCAAACAAACACGGCAGACAAACACAGCAGACAAACACAGCAGATAAACAGAGCAGACAAACACGGCAAACACAGCAGACAAACACTGCAAACAAACACGGCAGACAAACACAGCAAACAAACACGGCAGACAAACACAGCAGACAAACACAGCAGACAAACACAGCAAACAAACACGGCAGACAAACACAGCAGATAAACACAGCAGACAAACACGACAAACACAGCAAACAAACACGGCAGACACAGCAGACAAACACAGCTGACAAACACAGCTGACAAACACAGCAGACAAACACAGCAGACACACACAACAGACAAACACAGCTGACAAACACAGCAGACAGACACAGCAGACAGACACAGCAGATAAACACAGCAGACAAACACAGCAGAGACACACAGCAGACAGGCACAGCAGAAACACACCACAGACAGACAAACACAGCAGACAATCACAGCAGACACACACAGCAGACAGACACAGCAGACAGACACAGCAGACAAACACAGCTGACAAACACAGCTGACAAACACAGCAGACACACAGAGCAGACAAACACAACAGAAAAACAGCTGACAAACACAGCAGACAAAGGAGCAAAGAAATATAAGGAAATATTTGCATCCTGTAACAGTGGTTTACAACTATAATGTACTTATTGTAATTAAAGAAAGTAGTACAAGCCACTCCATCCACAACATTACAACCTTTAAAACACTCAACTATACATTTGCTCTTTACCACTATTTTAGGCAATATTTTAAATGACTCAGCCAGCTCTTGTGAATGACTCTTATCATAACGACAGTTCTCAAACTACCTACCACGCTGAAGTTGCCAGCTATGCTTTAATATCTTTGTTGCTATGGAAACCAAAAACATAATCAGATTAATGGAACACACAAGCTACTGTAAGGTAGCGACTGTAAGGTAGCGACTGTTAGGAAGCGACTGTTAGGTAGCGACTGTTAGGTAGCTGTTGTTAGGTAGCGACTGTTAGGAAGCGACTGTTAGGTAGCGACTGTTAGGTAGCTGTTGTTAGGTAGCGACTGTTAGGAAGCGACTGTTAGGTAGCGACTGTTAGGTAGCTGTTGTTAGGTAGCGACTGTTAGGTACCTACTGTTAGGTAGCGACTGTTAGGTAGCGACTGTTAGGTAGCTGCTGTTAGATAGCGACTGTTAGGAAGCTACTGTTAGGTAGCTGCTGTTAGGTAGATACTGTTAGGTAGCTACTGTTAGGTAGCTACTGTTAGGTAGCGACTGTTAGGTAGCGACTGTTAGGTAGCGACTGTTAGATAGCGACTGTTAGGTAGCTGCTGTTAGATAGCGACTGTTAGGAAGCTACTGTTAGGTAGCTGCTGTTAGGTAGATACTGTTAGGAAGCTACTGTTAGGTAGCTACTGTTAGGTAGCTTCTGTTAGGTAGCTACTGTTAGGTAGCTACTGTTAGATAGTACTGTTAGGTAGCTACTGTTAGATAGTGATTGTTAGGTAGCTACTGTTAGGGAGCTTCTGTTAGGTAGCTACTGTTAGGTAGCTACTGTTAGATAGCTACTGTTAGGTAGCTACTGTTAGATAGTGACTGTTAGGTAGCTACTGTTAGGTAGTGACTGTTAGGTAACTACTGTTAGGTAGCTACTGTTAGGTAGCTGCTGTTTGGTAGATACTGTTAGGTAGCTACTGTTAGGTAGCTACTGTTAGGTCGCTTCTGTTAGGTAGCTACTGTTAGATAGTGACTGTTAGGTAGCTACTGTCAGGTAGTGACTGTTAGGTAACTACTGTTAGGTAGCTGCTGTTAGGTAGCTGCTGTTAGGTAGATACTGTTAGGTAGCTACTGTTAGGTAGCTACTGTTAGGTAGCTACTGTTAGGTCGTTTCTGTTAGGTAGCTACTGTTAGGTAGCTACTGTTAGGTCGCTTCTGTTAGGTAGCTACTGTTAGGTAGCTACTGTTAGGTAGCTACTGTTAGGTAGCTACTGTTAGGTCGTTTCTGTTAGGTAGCTACTGTTAGGTAGCTACTGTTAGGTCGCTTCTGTTAGGTAGCTACTGTTAGGTAGCTACTGTTAGGTAGTGACTGTTAGGTAGCTACTGTTAGATAGTGACTGTTAGGTAGCTACTGTTAGGTAGTGACTGTTAGGTAACTACTGTTAGGTAGCTACTGTTAGGTAGCTACTGATAGGTAGCTACTGTTAGGTAGCTACTGTTAGGTAGCTACTATAAGATAGCGACTGTTAGGTAGCTACTGTTAGGTAGTGACTGTTAGGTAGCTACTGTTAGGTAGCTACTGTTAGATAGCTACTGTTAGGTAGCCACTGTTAGGTAGCTACTGTTAGGTAGCTACTATAAGATAGCGACTGTTAGGTAGCGACTGTTAGGTAGTTCCTGTTAGGTAGCGACAGTTAGGTAGTCTCTGTTAGGTAGCGACAGTTAGGTAGTCTCTGTTAGGTAGCGACTGTAAGGTAGCGACTGTAAGGTAGCGACTGTTAGGTAGCGACTGTAAGGTAGTCGGTGTTAGGTAGCAACAGATGGGTAAGCGCACCCTCCCACTCCAGCCTCTCCTTAAGGTAGACATCATTAATCCCAACACGCTGGCAACGTGACTTACTGTCTCCCAGGTGTTGGGTAGTGAGGGAGGGGAGTGGTGAGGGAGGGAGGGGTGAGGTGAGGGAGGTGAGTGGTGAGGGAGGGAGACGTGTGGTGAGGGAGGGAGGTGAGTGGTGAGGGAGGGAGGGGTGTGGTGAGGGAGGGAGGGGTGTGGTGAGGGAAGGAGATGTGTGGTGAGGGAGGGAGGTGTGTGGTGAGGGAAGGAGGAGTGTGGTGAGGGAGGTGAGTGGTGAGGGAAGGAGGAGTGTGGTGAGGGAAGGAGGAGTGTGGTGAGGGAGGTGAGTGGTGAGGGAAGGAGTGTGGTGAGGGAGGTGAGTGGTGAGGGAAGGAGGAGTGTGGTGAGGGAGGTGAGTGGTGAGGGAGGGAGGCGTGTGGTGAGGGAAGGAGGTGTGTGGTGAGGGAGGTGAGTGGTGAGGGAGGGAGGTTTGTGGTGAGGGAAGGAGGTGTGTGGTGAGGGAGGTGAGTGGTGAGGGAAGGAGGAGTGTGGTGAGGGAAGGAGGAGTGTGGTGAGTGAGGTGAGTGGTGAGGGAGGGAGGCGTGTGGTGAGGGAAGGAGGTGTGTGGTGAGGGAAGGAGATGTGAGGAGAGGGAGGGAGGTGTGTGGTGAGGGAGGGAGGTGAGTGGTGAGGGAGGGAGGTGTGTGGTGAAGGAGGTGAGTGGTGAGGGAAGGAGGAGTGTGGTGAGGGAAGGAGGAGTGTGGTGAGGGAGGTGAGTGGTGAGGGAGGGAGGTGTGTGGTGAAGGAGGTGAGTGGTGAGGGAAGGAGGAGTGTGGTGAGGGAAGGAGGAGTGTGGTGAGGGAGGTGAGTGGTGAGGGAGGGAGGAGTGTGGTGAGGGAGGGAGGTGTGTGGTGAGGGAGGTGAGTGGTGAGGGAGGGAGGAGTGTGGTGAGGGAGGTGAGTGGTGAGGGAGGGAGGTGTGTGGTGAGGGAGGGAGATGTGTGGTGAGAGAGGGAGGGGTGTGGTGAGGGAGGGAGGAGTGTGGTGAGGGAGGTGAGTGGTGAGGGAGGGAGGTGTGTGGTGAGGGAGGGAGGAGTGTGGTGAGGGAGGGAGGGGTGTGGTGAGGGAGGGAGGAGTGTGGTGAGGGAGGAAGGTGTGTGGTGAGGGAGGGAGGAGTGTGGTGAGGGAGGGAGGTGAGTAGTGAGGGAGGGAGGGGTGTGGTGAGGGAGGTGAGTGGTGAGGGAGGGAGACGTGTGGTGAGGGAGGTGAGTGGTGAGGGAGGGAGGAGTGTGGTGAGGGAGGGAGGGGGTGTGGTGAGGGAGGGAGGTGAGTGGTGAGGGAGGGAGGAGTGTGGTGAGGGAGGGAGGTGTGTGGTGAGGGAGGGAGGAGTGTAGTGAGGGAGGGAGGAGTGTGGTGAGGGAGGGAGGAGTGTGGTGAGGGAGGGAGGTGTGTGGTGAGGGAGGGAGGAGTGTGGTGAGGGAGGGAGGTGTGTGGTGAGGGAGGGAGGAGTGTGGTGAGGGAGGGAGGTGTGTGGTGAGGGAGGGAGGAGTGTAGTGAGGGAGGGAGGAGTGTGGTGAGGGAGGGAGGAGTGTGGTGAGGGAGGGAGGAGTGTGGTGAGGGAGGGAGGAGTGTTGTGAGGGAGGGAGGTGTGGTGAGGGAGGGAGGAGTGTGTGAGGAAGGGAGGAGTGTGTGAGGAAGGGAGGAGTGTGTGAGGAAGGGAGGAGTGTGTGAGGAAGGGAGGAGTGTGTGAGGAAGGGAGGAGTGTGTGAGGAAGGGAGGAGTGTGTGAGGAAGGGAGGAGTGTAGTGAGGGAAGGAGGAGTGTAGTGAGGGAGGGAGGAGTGGGGTGAGGGAGGGAGGAGTGTGGTGAGGGAGGGAGGGGTGTGGTGAGGGAGGGAGGAGTGTGGTGAGGGAGGGAGGGGTGTGGTGAGGGAGGGAGGGGTGTGGTGAGGGAGGGAGGAGTGTGGTGAGGGAAGGAGGTGAGTGGTGAGGGAGGGAGGAGTGTAGTGAGGGAGGGAGGAGTGTGGTGAGGGAGGGAGGAGTGTGGTGAGGGAGGGAGGAGTGTGGTGAGGGAGGGAGGAGTGTGGTGAGGGAGGGAGGAGTGTGGTGAGGGAGGGAGGAGTGTGGTGAGGGAGGGAGGAGTGTGGTGAGGGAGGGAGGAGTGTAGTGAGGGAGGGAGGAGTGTAGTGAGGGAGGGAGGAGTGTAGTGAGGGAGGGAGGAGTGTAGTGAGGGATGGAGGAGTGTGGTGAGGGAGGGAGGTGTGTGGTGAGGGAGGGAGGAGTGTGGTGAGGGAGGGAGGAGTGTGGTGAGGGAGGGAGGAGTGTGGTGAGGGAGGGAGGAGTGTAGTGAGGGAGGGAGGGAGGAGTGTGGTGAGGGAGGGAGGAGAGTGATGAGGGAGGGAGGGGAGTGGTGAGGGAGGGAGGCGAGTGGTGAGGGAGGGAGGGAATGTGTTGATGGAGGAAGGGAATATGTTGAGGCAAGTCTATGTGTGACTAAAGAGTGAATATCAGATCAAGTCTGACCGGCCACTCTCTACTTATTGTCTCAAAAGTCTCTCTCAACTCCCAATCAATTTTACCACGTTCGAAGTCACCCATGACTAAAAGCTTGATGGCTATTCCTACTTCCAACTGAGACAACGTTTTCTATGGTAGCAAAAGTT